TCTTTAGTATCCACGTGTACACACCTCTTTATCCATCTGTGTAGTATCCATGTGAATACTGCATAAGGTAAATATGGGGAAGCTCTTAATTCTTAATAAATCAATGTTATGTGTTTATATGAGGATACCCAATAATGCTCTGTGGATACTAAACATATGTGTGTAGACGTGGAGACCGATACAAATTTATGAATGAGTTTTGTTAAGTGAACTACGATAGCGCAGTATTCACATGGATACTGGTTATCGCAGTATTCACATGGATGCTGGTTATGATAAGTGAACTTCATGTGGATACTGGACGTGTACATGTGGATGTGGATAAACCAGGTCTGGACATATGTATCCACGTGTACACATATTTGTATCCAGTGGGGTACATGACCTGCCTTGTTGTTGTACACCTGGCGAACACTGTCCTTCTCTTCAGCACCTATATTGAATATGGAAGATTGAATAGCGAAGCAGAGAGTCTATGATGGTAATGCAGCGTTTTCTTCACAGCCATTACATGTTTAAATATGGGTTTTTAACATGATCTTACAACCAAAAAAGATTAACACAAAAGGGCTGTTATAAAGGTGAAGGCGCTATCCAAAAGCAGAATCCCGTGGATATAGGATTCACCTAGCAGGTCAGATGGGAACGACACAGTTGGTCCTGTTGTGTCCCGAGACACCACAACGACCACATTTGTTGACTTTTGTCTTAGGTACCTTTAAAAATTAAATAAGCATTAATACTTGGAAGTGTATGTTGTTAACTAAAAAAGGTGTACGTGTGTATTGATACCTGAATTTCTCCAGTTGACGGGATGCGCTTGTCCTTCGGGCGGCCAGAGGGGCGATGGGTGTAGGGAGGATAGAGAGTGAGCCTATCAATTGCTGGAGGTATGGGGATCTCCCCTACTGGTGCTTCAGGGTATATGACACCAGAGTAGGTTTCGATCCATGACTGAGTTTTGTAGTAGTCTCCAACAAGCTGGGCATATGAGAAGCCTATTGAATCAGCCGCCAACATCGCATGGCCACAGGGGATTTTAAGTTTCTGAAAAACCTGGCAGGTACAAACTTTGGTGTCTAGGTAAACGGTGTTCCCATGACCGAAAATACCTTTTACCTGAAACTGCCAGTCGATGATGTTATTTATTTTACTGCTTTTGGTGAGCCTGATGTGTGTCTGCATAACAGCTTCAACCTCGGGGGTGACTGAACCCCTGTGTTTGGTGGACTTAGTTCTTCTGGCAGAAAACCATCGAGTCAACATGCGTTGGATGAACATGAAGAGCTCAACAATTGGTGAATCTCTGGATTTGGTTAAGGCGTTATTAAGCTGCTCTGCGACGTTGCTTGTAAGGAGGTTGTATCGGTTACCTGGAAAGTATGTCCTAGACCACCTAGAAGTACCAATGTCTTCAAGGTATTTAGCACATGAGGAACTGGCTTGCCTTATTTTACCAAAGTTGTCATCGAAGTCCTTGCGTTTGTAGGAAAATGCAGCTGCACAGACCATTTTCGCCAGCCCTTTGCTCTTGTAACGGGAGACAACATTGCGCATTATATGGACAATGCATGCGCCATGGTGTGCCTTGGGGAAGATGAGTTTGACAGCTTTAACGAGTGATATGTGTCGGTCAGAAATAATTGAAAGGGTATTGGAGTCAGCTATAATCCTCTCCAGCTTAGAAAGAAACCATACCCATGAACTATCAGTCTCTCCGTCGACGACAGCGAAAGCTAGAGGAAACACTTGGAAGTTGCCATCTTGGCCACTGGCTGTGAGAAGAACGCCTTTATACTTTCCAGAAAGATGTGTGCCATCAATAATAAGGACAGGTCGCACACGCCGGAAACCCTGAATTGAAGCACCAAAGGAAAGAAAAGCATAGAGAAAACGAGTTTCACCAAAATCATCTAATTCAGTCTCTATGGCAGTTACCGTGTCGGGGTTTGTGGCTTTCAGCCTCTCAAAGTAAGAAGCTAGGCTGAGATATGACTCCTCTGGATTGCCAACAGTGAGGTCGAGAGCCTGAGATTTTGCCCTGTGGCATTTCATGTATGAGGCACAGATGCGGAGGTCCTCAAGTACCAGCTGCTGCAGCTGCGCTGCTTTAGGACCCTGGTTTGACTCTCCAAACCGGGAACGATAGACATGGGCAATGACTTTGGAGGTGGCCCTTTTCTTGTAGTCATTGCGCAACTCAAAGGGGCAGGTGTGGTTAAGTTGTGCCTTCTTGATGGTGTAGTATCCACAACTTGTCAGTTCCTTTGCTAGAATGCGCCACTCACATTTTGTGTCATGGCAACTAAGCACAAAAGAATACCTTGTGGTCCTCGTCTGTCTGAAATGGAACCGTTTTTTGATTGCGTATATTGCTAAGCTGATTTGGCAGTCTTGTTTGTTAGCATATAACTTACCAACAGTAGGTTCCACATCGGATTCCTCCCAATTAATGTCTGGGACGGCATCGGCTTGATATGAGGTATCATCGAACAAAGGTGGTAAGTCGAATTCCTCATCGCTAATCTCAGAAAGTGGTCTTGTCTCGCGAAATGGCGGAGGGGTGGGTGGAGGTGTGTGAGAAGCACTTGTGTACGCTGCATTTGGTGTACATGTAGGCGATGCGCGGCTTGGTGTACGTGTGGACGCTGAATGATCGTGTCCACGGGGTGAATCTCGTTGGTGTACACCGAGGGAGTCCAGGTCTTTCTTCCAATCAGTTGAATCATCGCCGGACAGTGGGACTGTATCACTTGTGGAGCGGTGGACGATGTTGGGTGCTGTCTTCGGGACATGGACACCAGCCATGATGTCAGCTGCATCGGAGCCACCGAGTGAGTCATTTAGCAAAGGCTCCCAAAAGTCTTTATCGTACCCACGAGGCGGTACATATTCAATGTCTGGAGGTTGAGAACTTTCGGAAGCAAGCTCCTCTTCATCGTCAATTATCCAATCGTCGGGAATGTTATCAGGGTCTTCATTGAACATTTGTTCTAACATTTCATCGCCAGAAGACAGGGTTTCCTCATTTATGGATACTCGGTGAACCTTTGGAGGGACGGAAGCAGGAGTACTAGTCCGAGCAGAGGGTTGGGGGGTTCTGGTATCATGTAAAGGATTTGTGGGACTCTCTTGAAGGAGCTCATCTTCATCAAACAGCGAGAACGAGGGGATCTTGGATGAGGATGTGGAAGATGGGCGAAAATGGTGGAGGTTGTGGTTTGTAGTTTGGTTTGGTGTTGTGAATGAAAGAGGGTTCTGATCAACTTGTCTCGTATCCTGCCCGTCTCCTTTGGTGTCGAAAGTGACAAACAGATTCATGCTTCTGTGAGAGGCCAAATGGTGGAAGAAGTATGCAACTGCTCCGTCGTTGGACAAAATAACCGGTGGTGTGGTCAGACCAGTGGCGAGTTCTTTGGTGTTGGGTGGCCAGTAGCTCAAAACAGCAGGCGGTGGGGGTTCAGTGAAGGTGAAGAACTCCTTGACAACGTTTTTTTGTAAGTCACACAAGGACATTCCGGGGGAAACGGGAACAATTCTTGACATTTTTTTCTCATCGATGGAGAAATTCTACAGTGAGTCGCGGGAGTTCCATTCGCCTGGAATGACCATGCAATGATCTTCCATGGCGGACCTGTATCAAAAAAAAAAAAAAACACCTAATGTATGAGCTCAAGCTCTTGGTATAACTTAGGTTCCTCGGTAATTAGAGAAATATTTAAAACAAACCTGCAATTGGGGGAGGCTGGTGAATGGATTATGAAGAGTGGATATTAGATTATGGGTTAATCAGAATTTGGTAATCTGTTTTTGTTAATAACAGTCGACGAAAACCAGAGACAAAAAATGGTGAAGATGGAGAGGATGTGTAAATTTCAATCAGGACCGTAGATGCAAAAGTAAATCCAACGGTGACTAAAGGTGGCAGATATATGTCTTGTCCAAATTGTACAGCTTCAATATGGACCGTAGATGGTGGGAGCGAGATGTGTGGTCATGTTTTTTTCCCGCTAATATTCCAGTTTTTCTGGTCTCCTTGGTGGACGACATAGTTAACTTCTAACTAATCTGATGTGCTAATAAAACAACAGTTACAAATAAAGTGTCCGTGTATTGTTAAGTGTCCCAGAATGTTAGAGATAACTCAATAACTGCCTCTAGTTGTAATTTTTTCATATCTAAACATCCATAAATATGAAATATTATTAATTATTTTTTCTAAAAGATCAATCATTGATTACATTATCATATAAGATTTATTTTATCACATATGATTATTTATCAGTCATAATAAATAATAGTGACTCTTTTTTCGTAACATTTGAATTGATGCACGATTCTATATGATATTTTTGATAGATAAATTCTCTCATCACGACTATAGCGAAGTCTTTCTACCCTGAAACTTCCAGTAGATGTATATGTTGTAATTTGCAAAAACTTGTTTTCCTTTCAAAATTTCACCCGAGATCTAGTATAAAAACTTTTAAACCTTTGATTGGTTAAATTATGGTGATCCAACTTTGTTGACCAGTTTTAAAATGAATTCAGATCTACAGTATATCTTATAAATAATTATAAAATAGACATGAGTCTGGAATATTATCAACCAAATATGATACGAACTATATAAATTTTGAATAGGATCTAGGATCGAACCTGAACATCTAAAAGCACAATTGACAGTCATGTCTTGGTCTAAAGGGTGAACAAAAATAACGTGACTGAATAATTAAATGAGCTTGCAGGATGGGCTCTTTGTTTTTAAGGGCCTTAATATTCTTGTTACCAAACACGCCTTTTATTCGCCATCCTCTATAAATAACGGAGCTGTGGGCGAATAACAGAAGAAAATTTCTGGATCGGAAAGCTGCGAAGCTTCTGGGAATTTCTCTCGTGACCCCTTCGTTTTGCTTTCTCTGATCCACGAATTCCTTCAACCCGAATTCGATTGTGTTTCCCAATTTGACGGCGGGATAACAAAAAAGCCCCAACACTTTTTGCGATTCTCGTGTAACCAATCTTTCAAGTCTAGGGTTTCGCGAGTTCGTGGTCTGTGATCGTGTGAGAGAATGTCTCGGTGTTACCCGTTCCCTCCACCTGGCTTTGTACCGAACCAAATCAAAAAGGATGAGTCTCTGATCGAATCGATCAAAAAGGTTTGTTGAGCAGTTATAAAAAGTCCATTGCTTTTATGTGATTTTTTTAATGCTCAGCTTCCTGTGAAACAAATCAACAATTAAAACTGTTAGATGAAAAAAATTCCGAATCTAACTCAAAGCTTGAAAACATTGATTAATTCAATAAAGATGACTACCTAAACAGTTACTTACAAACCAGTAGGGATTCTATTCCAGTAATCTCTGTGATAGTTATGCATTGTTTGTGTTTTTATTTCTCTTTCTTCTTTGTCCCATACTGGATTAGGCAAATTATGGACACTAACTGTTGTTGTTGTTCCAAATTCCAGGGGACAAAGGAGGAGGCTAAGAGAGAAAAGAAAGATAGAAAACACAACAAGGATAAAAAAAGGAAGGAGAGGGATAATGAGGCTGGCCGAAGTAGAAAGCATCTTCATCATAAGAGATGGCGTAAAGATGACAATACCAGTGCTTGTAAGAAGGTCGATGACAATGTCAGTGAGCCTGAGTGCATGGAGAAGAGTTGCCTTACGATGGAACTTGACCATCAAACGTCTTCTCAGACATCTTGTGATAGTAATCTTCATGGCAATGAGAATGAGGGACAGAATCATATTCAGAGTCAGCCCCTCGATGGTAGGCATAACGACTCTGGTGAGTTTGTTTGTTTACTTGTTCTTGGGTCTGTCTGCTTTACGATGATGACACTCTTTCTTCAAATTGTTGCTATGGGTTTTGAAGAAACTAGCAAAAGGCAGAAATATCCTGAGGTGATGATGAGCAACGAGGATCAGAAACAGTGCTCTTCTCGGGAAGATGCTTCTCAGCCTGCTCCTAAGGAGTCCGTCGAACCTCCACCACGAGATGCTTTAATGGTCTGCCAAGAGAAGAGGAGAGATCCAGTTTTTGATGCAGCAATAGATATCTCAACAAAACTTAGCAAAGAGAAGCAAACAAACAGACAAAGTAGTATGCAACTAGGTAAAGAGAAACAGTTATCTAGACATCATGAAGCCAATGGACCTTCAAAGCTCTGCAGAAAACGCCCTTCTTCCACGGCCATGCGATTCTCGAATCTCATCGAGAACTGGTCTCCTGATCAGGTTGAGAGCAAGCTCACCGACTCTGAAGATCAAGAATGGTGGTTGTTGATGAAAGTTAGCGCCAAAAGACATCATCCAGTTAGCAATCAGACTAGCAGCAGTGGAAGTAGTTCGATGGTGTGGCCAAGTGCTCGGTTTCTTCCAGAAGCCGAACTACACGCATTGCCATTCACTGTCCCGTTCTGATTTCCTCAGAGCTTTTGGTTCAGTGAGTTGTTGACATGACAAACAGATTGTTTCCCCTATGCATTTTAGATTAGCATTTGAACTCGGAAGTATATGTGTGATTATTTGTAGATGCACAGCATATATATATATATAGTAAATAAATCAAAGTCAATTTTACATGTCAGAGATTTGAGTTTCTACAGTTATTATTTCTTGGATAAACTCTACACTTAACAACAGTCTACAGTTTTCTTCCTATGGTCGCTGTTTTCTTTATCTTATGGTTTTGTTGGTTTTATTTGTTTACAGTTTTTTTCAGTTTGGTTCGTTTTATAAAAGGAAAATATAATAAATAAAAAATAGTCACAACGACTTTCGGTTCTAGAACTATGGTCGAATCTTTATGATAGCCTCGTTGGAATGACACTGGTGGAGAAAAACAAATGGTTGTTTTCTCCAGCAATATAATTTATACAAGTCCAAATCGATTGATTTTTAGATTCTGCTTCCATTTGTTCCATCAACATATGGAACATTACCCTGTAATACTCCTTAGTTTCCTCTCTGCCTTTTTCGAAATTTTCTAGCGGACTTGATCCATAGTCTTCTTCTCTACAACCCTTCATCATCAAGTAGCTCGATTATGCTATTGCTATGGTGCATCAGTTTAAATATGTTATAATTTTGAACATGAAATATGATATGAAAACAGAGGAAACACTAACTTGTATTTGATTTTTTTGCGCGTTTAGTTTTTTGAATCGATTTGCACGATATTTCCTTAATTTTTTCAAAGTAGAGGCTTGACTGACCTAAAAAAATATTTTACGTTTTTATTAGGGTGAATCTTTTTTTTTCAAATTAATTACGTCTCTTTCACCTTTATTTATTTTCGTCTCTAACGAGAATATTAGAGTATCTTCAGAAACAATTGTTGACTCTACTTGTTCCATTAAGCGTTCAGTCTCTTGAGTCAGTTTACTGAGGAGTTCACGATCTTGCTCTTATTCTTCCAAAGTACATGCATGATTGACTTTAAAAGAAACATTTTTTTCTGCTAGGGTGAATCTTGTTTTCAGATCAATCACTTCTCTATCACCCTCGTTCACTTTCTTCTCCAACGAGGATACAAGAGTATTCTTGGAAGTAATTGCTGACTTTGCTCACTCCCTTAGGTGTAGTCTCTTGAGTCAGCTTGTTGAAGAACTCCTAATGTTGCTTTAATTTTTCCAAACTAGAGGCATGTTCGGCCTTAAGAGAAGAATTTTTATTTTTCATGGTGAATCTTGCTTTCAGATCAGTCACGTCTCTGTCACCCACACGCACTTTCTTCTCCAACGAGGATATAAGAGTATCCTTGGAAGCAATTTATAACTCTGCACGCTACATTAAGCGATCAGTCTCTTAATTCAACTTGTTGAGGATCTCCAGATATTGCTCTAATTCTTTCAAAGTAGAGGCATGATCGACCTTAAGAGAATCATCTTCCTTTTCCAATTAGGGTAAATTTTATTTTCAGATCAGTCATGTCTCTGTCACCCTCGCTCATTTTTTTTCTCAAACGAGGATATAACAGTATCCTTGGAAGCAATTGCTGACTTTGCTCGCTCCTTTAGACGTTCAGTCTCTTGAATCAGCTTATTAAGGAGCTCCTGATGTTGCTCTATTTTTTCAAAGTAGAGGCATGAACAACCAGAAAAGAAGCATTTTCTTTTTTTTTGGTTAATGATTTTTATTTTCAGATCAGTGACGTCTCTGTCACCTTCACTCACTTTCTTCTCCAGTGAGGATATAAAAATATCCTTGGAAGCAATTGATGACTCTGCCCGCTTCTTTAGGCATTTAGTCTCTTGAATCAGCATGTTGATGATCTCCTGATGTTGCTTTAATTCGTTCAAAGTAGAGGCATGATCGACCTTAAGGGAAATATTTTTCTTTTTCAATTAGGACGCTTCTTGTTTTCAGATCAGTGACGTCTTTGTCACCCTCATTCACTTTCATCTCCAACGAGGATATAAAAGTATTTTTGGAAGAAATGGATGACTCTCCACGCTCTTTTAGGCGTTCAGTCTCTTTAGTTAACTTGTTGAGTAGCTCCTGATATTGCTCAAATTCTTTCAAAGTATAGGTATGATCGACCTTAAGGGAAGCATTTTCTTTTTCCATTAGGGTGAATCTTGTCAGATTAATCATGTCTATGTCACCCTCTCTCACTTTCTTCTCCAATGAGGATATAAAAGTATTTTTGGAAGAAATTGATGACTCTCCACGCTCTTTTAGGCGTTCAATCTCTTGAATCAGGTTGTTGAGGAGCTCCTGATGTTGATCTAATCATTCCAAAGTAGAGGCATGATCGGCCTTAAGAGAAGCATTTTTCTTTTCCAACTAGGGTGATTCTTGTTTCAGATCAGCCACGTCTCTGTTACTATCACTCACTTTCATCTCCAACGAGGATATAAAAATATATTTGGAAGAAATATTTGACTCTTCATGCTCTTTTAGGTGTTCAGTATCTTTAGTCAACTTGTTGAGTAACTCTTGATGTTGCTCTAATTCTTTAAAAGTAGAGGCATGATAGGCTGTAAGAGAAGTGTTTTCCTTTTCTATTAAGGTGAATGTTTCTTTCAAATCAGTCATGTCTCTGTTACCCTCACTCACTTTCTTCTCCAAAAAGGATATAAAGGTATCCTTGAAAGCAATTGATGATTCTGCGCGCTCCTTTAGGCGTTCAATTTCTCTGGTCAACTTGTTTAGGTGCTTCTAATGTTGCTCTAATTATTCCAAAGTAGAGGCATGATCAGCCTTAAGAAAAGCATTGTCCTTTTCCAACTAAGGTAATTCTTGTTTCAGATCAGTCATGTCTCTGTTACCCTCACTCACTTTCTTCTCTAATGAGGATATAAAGGTATCCTTGAAAGCATATGATGACTCTGTGCGCTCCTTTAGTCGTTCAGTCTCTTTAGCCAACTTGTTGAGGAGATGTGTCTCTAATTCTTCCAAAGTAAAGGCATGATCGGCCTTACGAGAAGCATCTTCCTTTTTCAGATAGGGTAAATCTTATTTTCCGATCTGTCACGTCTCTGTCACCCTCGCTCATTTTCTTCTCCAACGAGGATACAAGAATATCATTGGAAGGAATTACTGATTCTGCTAGCTCATTTAGGCGTTCAGTCTGAGTCAGCTTGTTGAGGAGATCTTGATTTTGCTCTATATCTTCCAAAGTACTGGCATGATCAGCCTTAAAAGGAAACATTTTCCTTTTTCATGAGGGTGAATCTTGTTTTTGGATCAGTCACGTCACTATCACCCTCGCTCACTTTTTTTTTCTAACGAGGATCTATGCTCGCTCCATTAGACGTTCTGTGTCTTGAATCATCTTGTTGAAGAGATCCTGATGTTGCTTTAATTTTTCCAAAGTAGAGACATGATCGGCCTTAAGATAAGCATTTTTTCCATCAAGGTGAATATTGCTTTCAAATCAGTCACGTATCTATCAACCTCACTCACTTTCTTCTCCAACGAGGATTTAAGAGTATTCATGGAAGCAATTGATGACTATGCACACTCTTTTAAGCGTCCAGTCTCTTTATTCAACTTATTGAAGAGCTCTCGATTTTGCTATAGTTCTTTCAAAGTAGAGGCATGATCAGCTTTAAGAGACACATTTTTCTTTTCACACTAGGATGAATCTTGTTTCTAGATCAGTCACGTTTTGTCACCCTCGCTCACTTTCTTCTCCAACAAGGATATTAGAGTATCCTCAGAAGCAATTGTTGACTCTCCTCGCTTTATTAGGCGTTCAGTCTCTTGAATCAACATGTTGAAGAACTCCTGATGTTGCTCTGATTCTTTCAAAGTAGAGGCATTATCGCCCTTAAGAGAATCATTTTTCTTTTTTAATTAGGGTGATTCTTGTTTTTAGATCAGTGGCGTCTCTGTCACCCTCACTCACTTTCTTCTCCAGCGAGAATATACAAGTATATTTAGAAGTAATTGATGACTTTGGCGCTCTTTTAGGCGTTCGGTCTCTTTAATCAACTTATTAAGGAGTTCCTAATGTTGCTCTAATTATTCCAAACAGAAGAATGATCGGCTTTAAAAGAAGTATTTTACTTTTTCATTAGAGTGAATCTTGTTTTTAGATCAGTTAGTCACTTTCACCTTCGTTCACTTTCTTCTCCAACGAGGATATTAGAATATCCTCAGAAGAAATTGATGACTCTGCTCGCTCCATTAGACGTTCAGTCTCTTGAGTCATCTTGTTGAAGAGATCTTGATGTTTCTTTAATTTTTCCAAAGTAGAGACATGATTGGCTTTAAGAGAAGCATTTTTCTTTTCCATCAGGATGATTCTTGTATTCAGATCAGTCACATCAATGTCACCTTCGTTAACTTTCTTCTCCAACGAAGATATTAGAATATCATCGAAAGAAATTGCTGACTCTGCTCGCTCTATTAGACGTTCAATCTTTTGAGTCATCTTGTTGAAGAGATCCTGATGTTGCTTTAAATTTACCAAAGTAGAGGCATGATCGGCTTTAAGAGAAGCATTCTTCTTTTCCATCAGGGTGAATCTTGCTTTCAGATCAGTGATGTCTCTGTCACCCTCACTCACTTTCTTCTCCAACGAAGATATAGGAGTATACTTAGAAGCAATTAATGACTGCACGATCTTTTAAGCGTTCAGTCTCTTTATTAAACTTGTTGAGGAGCTCCTGATGTTGCTATAATTCTTCCAAAGTAGATGCATGATTGGTCTTAAGAGAAGCATTATCCTTTTTTCAACTACGGGAATATTATTTTCAGATCAGTCACGTCTCTGTCACCCTCGCCTACTTTATTCTCAAATGAGGATATAAGAGTATCCTTGGAAGAAATTGTTGACTATGCTCGCTCTTTTAGGCGTTCAGTCTCTTGAATCAGCTTGTTGAGGAGCTTCTGATGTTGCTTTAATTCTTTTAAAGTAGAGGCATGATTGGCCTTAAGAAAAGCATTTTTTTAACTAGGGTGAATCTTGTTTTCAGATCAGTCACGTCTCTGTCACCCTCATTCGCTTTCTTCTCCGACGAGGATATAAGATTATCCTTGGAAGCAATTGCAGACTCTACTCACTCCTTTAGGCATTTAGTCTTTTAAGTCAGCTTGTTGAGGAGTTCCTGATGTTGCTCTAATTCTTCTAAAGTAAAGGCATGATCGGCCTTAAGGAAAGCATTTTCCTTTTCC